ATGAAGCCGGAGTTCACGATTTGTTCCATCACCCGCTATCTTGCAGGAGGCATACACGGCCGCATTCTTCAAAGTGGTCATCATCCCAACTTCCTCCATGGCCATTGGAGTCGCCAAACAGGTGTGGCTTATTACCATGGCTGGGTAACGCCCCATCTAAGTCCGAGCAGTACCGATTGGCTTGTGATGTGTGGCAACAATAAGGGCGTTGTCTTCGTGGGCAAGGACGGGAAGAATATCGCTACCGGTCACGGTCCTCAGCTGAACGCAGACTTCCACTTGTACATCAACGAGGGCTTCGCCAATGAAGCCTCAGACTTCGGCGTTATGGAGGTCATCACTTGGAATCGGGCACTCTCGGAAGACGAGATGTGGACCAGCATGGAGTACCTGAATTGGAAAATCCAGGTGGGAAGGATGCAAACCTGAACGTCACATTCAATAGGAAACCAGCAATATTGAATTAGCCTTCTGTCTGCTCCATTCATGGCCTTTTCGTCTTCCCTCCCGAGCCAAGGCCGCGATTCCATACCAACCAGCGGACAAACTGTCCATGGTGGCCTGGTTCAAGAGCGAAGATGCCAGTCCAGCTTGGAGGAGCGCGGTGGGCAGCTGGCAAGCTCGAGTCACCAAAGGCAGCATCACCAGAAAGGTCGAGGCTGGAAATGGGGCTACGAAACCTGTTGGGTACCTCGCTGGCGACAGCAATGCCGGATATGACTTCGGCAAGATCATGAAGCCGGACTTCACGATTTGTTCCATCACCCGCTATGTTCAAGGAGGGAGAATGGGCCGCATTCTCCAAAACATCCATCCCAACTTCCTCCATGGCCACCATGGTCACCGCACAGGCGTGGCTCATTACAGCACTTGGGTCACACCCTGGGACGTTCCGAGCAACACAGATTGGCTTGTGATGTGTGGCAACAATAAGGGGGTTGTCTACGTGGGCAACGAACAGCGCAACATCGCCGTCCACCACGGTGTTCTCCACAGCGAAGACTTCAACTTGTACATCAACGAGGGCTTCACTGCCGAAGTTTCTGACTTCGGCGTCATGGAGGTCATCACTTGGAACCGGGCACTCTCGGAAGACGAGATGTGGACCAGCATGGAGTACCTGAATTGGAAGCTCGTGACTGGCACTCAGTGAAGTGGTTCACTGCCCAGCAATATAGTGACTGCCTGCGGCCAGAAAAGTGCACAGCCTCAATGAGAGCTTGCTTGCCCGGACGATCAGGACGCATTCGGAAGTTTGTATCTAAAACCAGCGAGAAGCTCGTCCATGAGACTGGTAGCATGCAGGTGTCGTCTTCCACAAATGGGCTTCGGCACTTTGTGTGAAGTGACGAGATGGATTTCGGGGCACATGTCTTTGTTTTTGCATGGGCGGTGGTGGTTTCGACAACCTGACAGTGCCCTGCTTCTGCAGCTTTCTTTCAGTCTTAAAACGAAGCAGATCAGCTGTTAGAGCTGTGTTGATGAACCAGCGCAATGGTCGCGTTGACATGCCGCTGGTGGCTCGCGGTGGGCAGCTTGGCCACCGCCGTCGCCTTCAAGGTATCTGCTTGGATCAAACATGTTTCTTTGCGGTTGCTTCGGAAGGGAGCTGTTCGTCTCGTGTGCTGCGCATGTCTGCAGCGTGTCTTGCATAAACTTTATCGGCATGCAAACTTGTTACTTCATCTCCCAGATGTCCCAGATTGAGATGCTCTGATTTGCTTCGGAAACCTTCGTCTTGATCGGCAGGTTGCCGAGGCACCGATGCAGATCGTCAAAACCGATAACGAGACCCTCAAGAAGGAAGTGGAGGGGATCGCGGCGAAGAACATGGAGGAAGAGTTCAAGCAAATGAATGACATCCCGAACCCTGCGAACTTCACACTGAACGGAAGCATGCCAAATGCCTCCCAGGGTTTCTGGGCCGATCAGCGACACAAGAACTCCTTTTTGCAGTGCGTAGGCCCTTGTCTTTCCAGCCCGTAACTCTTGCTAAGGTGTTGGTGAGCTCGGGAAGAGCTTCGAGTTCATGATGCTGAAGCTGGCCCAGCTTGAGACGCTGTGCGAGTTGCAGCAGGCTGAGCTCGAGACATTGAGGAAGACGGTGAAAGGTCTTGCCGAGCATGTGGATCACCCGGACAGCGTGGCGTCTTTGGTGCAGAAAGACGAGAAAACCAGAATGCAAGAGACCCAGCAAACCCTGAAGAGGGTGCTCGCCAAGCACGCTCAGCAGCACAAGAACAAGGACTTCCATCCAAAGGCTTCTCGGCAAAACTACCGCCCGGCTGACGCCAAGCCAGAGTCCCCGAAACATGCCGGCGAAGCCGGGGCGAGTGACCGAGCCGAGCTGCTGGCAGGAGGAGCCCAGCAGTCGGGAAGCAAAGGCTTGCACAGGTGGGGTGCGGTCGGTGGCTGGGTCGAGGACCGCGTGCAGGCAAGGACTGGGTTTCTGAAGGCATGTCTTGTGGTGAGCAAGGCAATCTCGGGATGCTATGCAGTCTCGCGTTGTCTCTCGTAAGAGCCTACGGAAAACGGTAAAGACTACTGTCAAGCCGGGCTGGTGGTCCTGAACGTGTAATTAGAGGGTCAGCCACTCCCTGGCTTCGGAACACATTCCACGATATCCTTGATGCTGCCGGAATGCATAATCCTTCAAAAGCAAGCACAGAGGGAGAACTTACTTGACGGGCCCTGGATCCTTCACTCGGCTCCGTGACCTGCCTTAGTTGCTTCACACCTCAATCCCCCATGCAGTTGTGCAATGATGTTCAGGATATCGATATGCAGGATACCCGTTTCAGCAGCGTTTTGCGCTTCTTAGCATGCCACTCACAACCCATCATAATGAGTTTCCGCAAAGTACACCCTCCCCAGACAAGCCCAATCCACAGACGCCCAGAGATGCAAACCTCAGATCTCCCAAAGTGCAACCTCCGAGCCCAAGCACGAGGATGTCAAAAGCGTCGCTGAGAGCACAGCGGATGCCTACGCGGCAGCCACTGACAAGGTGGCCTCCGCTTCTTCGGATTTGGTTCAGTAAACCCTAAACCCTAAATTCCTAGACAGGGCTAGCTTCACTGGTTTCACGCCGACCCGCACCTACGAACCTCGCCTGGCATGAGTTGCCTAAACCAGGAATTTGAGGCTCTGGGTGGGGGCTCGAGGGGCTGGTCGGGTTGGGCTTGGCGCTGCAAAGGTGGCCTTCGTTGCCAATACGGTGATTGACACCGTGGAGATGGCCGTGCAGATCCTTCTGAAAGGCTTCACCGATTGGGCCGCCGACTGCGAAATCAGCGGACCCAGCATTCGGGACTACATCGAAGAATGTGAGATTACGGGCTCCCGAGAGCAAAGCATGGGCTTTTGGGGGGGGACAATCAGGATCCCCATAATCGAGTGTAGACGAAGGAGTGTCCTGATGGCGCTTGACTGGGGTCGGCAGAAGTGTTGGATCCGCCTGATGGGCCAGCAGATTACGCTTTTCGACTTCAACTTTGGGTCCCTTGAAATGACGTGGCCGGCTCCAATTGAAACAGCTATCGACATCGGCACAGGACTGAGCCACTGTGGCGGTGGCAACATCTTCACGTGCCTGAGCAACAAGATCTTGAACCACATCACGTGGCCCGACAAGTTGAAGAAGGTTGTCGATGGCAGAGTCCAGGATCTGCTGCCCTCGCAGATGCGGATACTTGCTCACATCGGGTGGGAGCTGCAGACCCACTGCCACACCCACAACCATGTTGAGATGACCAAGTGTCTTGCCAGATCACTTGCGAAGTACAGTCCACCAGTGGACTTCCTGCCCGACCCGTTGAAGAAAGTTGCTAATGGCCAAGTCTTGGATCTTCTGCCTGATCAAGTAAAACTCGTTGCAGGATCGACGTACGAGGCTGTCCGGACGGTGTTC